ATATATATATATATATCAAAAAATACAGAATAAGTCAAATAAAGCATAACCCCATACAATGTCTCTGAACCATCAGATCTATTCTAGACTTAGTAACTGATCAAAGCAAATGAATTTGTATAACAGAAATAGATCCTTAGGGACTGGGGATGTGGCTCAAGCGGTAGCGCGCTTGCCTGGCATGTGCACGGCGCTGGGTTCGATCCTCAACATCACATACAAATAAAATAAAGATGCTGTGTCTGCCGAAAACTGAAAAATAAATATTAAAAAATTCTCTCTCCCTCTGTCTCTCTCAAAAAAAAGATCCTTAACAGTTTTTATATGCATACAAATTATATTTTACATGTTAATTTTTGCATAGTTATTATGTTTCATAAATGAAAAGCATCATTTTATAAAACAGTATATTGATATGCACAGAGATATAAAATGGAAATGTGGATTGCAAGCTCTTTGAAGATCTCAAAATTATTTCAATAAAATAATATTTTATGAAATAATTATTCAAGTTTATATCTAGATGTCTAAAATTTTAAATTTCTATAAATATAGTATATTTTTATAAATATAAACCTGTCAATATATCTATATTTATATTTTCTATTTAGATGCCTCCATTAATGGTCTCAGTTTTAACCATCCACTATGGTTTGGATATGATTTCTCTTTATAGGTTCATGTGTTGGAAACTTGGTCCCCAGTGTGGCAATGTGAAGATGATGGAAACCTGAAGTAGAGTTGCCGGGTGTGGCATATACCTGTAATCCCAGTGGCTCCAGAGGCTGAGGCAGGAGGATCAGGAGTTCAAAGCCAGCCTCATCAGCTTAGCAAGGACCTAAACAACTCAGAAAGACCCTGCCTCTAAATAAAATACAAAAAAGGGCTGGGAGTGTGACTCAGGGTTTAAGCGCCCCTGAGTTTGATCACCAGTAGAAAAAAAAAAAAAAGTAGAGAGAGAGAGAGATGTAAAGTGGAAGGTGATTAGGACATGAATGAAGTCTCAAGGGAGGAGGTCAGGTCTTTTTACAGGACTGGATTAATTCCCTCAAGCATGGGTTGTTATAAAGCAAGTTCAACTATTTTAGCTCACTTCTTGCACAGGTACCCCTTATGAACATTGCTAGATCCCTTTCTACTTTTCAGCCAGGGGACTCTGGCAAGGACACAAACATTATCTGTTTGGGCCTTTTGGCCACCAGAATCACAAGCCAAATAACTTCTTTTCTTTGTAAATTAATCTTACAAAAGAGACTAGATATTATTCAATCAGTGAGTCTTCTATAATGTAAGTCATTTCATCTATTCATCCATTCACTCTGTGGTACTGGGGATTGAACCAGAGACACTTTACCACTGTTCTGCATGCCTAGTCCTTTTTATTTTATTTTTTATTTTCAAACAGGATCTCACTAAGCTGCTGAAGCTGATCCTCCTGCTTCAGACAAGTAGCTGGGACTATAAGCATGTGCCAGCACACCCAGCTAGTTACTTTAAGGAAGAACAGAGACCTACTTGCATTGCTGCATCACCTATTGCACGTCGGATCTCCCTTAGAGTCTGGTACTGCTCCAGCAAGTGATCACCACAGATGATATCTACCTATGGAAGAATAAGAGCACATCAGATCACTTTCTGCAAGACACCATATGAAGAAATGAAGGGGAGAATATCAACATAATAAGTATTCTTACTTAAAAAAAAAAAAGGGAAGAAAAAAAAGCATACTATGCAAATTAGCTCGATTTAGCTATCCCACAGAGTATACATACTTTAAAACATCATGTATATAATAAATATGATAATTTTGTCAAAAAAATAATAAATGGGTGGTGGGATACCAACTTTGAGTTTTGGGAATCAATTTTCTGGGTTTTTTTTTTTTCTCTCTCCCAGAATTAGGGATTGAACTCAGGGCTTCTCATACATGCTAGGAAAATGCTAACCACTGAGTTTCATCCACAGTCCTGACAACCAAAATCTCTTTTTTAAAAAAATATCTATTTATTTATTTTTTTAGTTTTTCGGCGGACACAACATCTTTGTTTGTATGCGGTGCTGAGGATCGAACCCAGGCCGCATGCATGCCAGGCAAGTGCGCTACCGCTTGAGCCACATCCCCAGCCCCCAATCAAAATCTCTTAAATCACCACATGTGGCACTTATAATCTAAATCCTAGAGAGGACCCCTCCTGAGTATTACTTCTCTTTTATTCTATGTAATCAGAAGCAAGTCTTCTAACTTATGCTTTTAGAAACATTAGACTGTTTGTTAAGATCACTCACAATTCTTTGTGCAGGAGTCCTTAAACAACTGTCTCTAACCCAAAGCCCAAGGAGAGCCTCAATTATGCCATGGTTACAAGGTAATAAGTTATTTCTAATTTTCTCTTTTTATATATACATTTATTTATTTATTTATTCTTAGTGATGCTGAGGATCGAACCCAGGGCCTTGCATGTGCTAGGCAAGTGCTCTACCACTGAGCCACAACCCCAGCCCTCTAATTTTCATTGTACATGAGAATCAACCAGTATATGTCAAGCTCAGAGAGATCACTTTAATTTGATTTAATATACATTTTTAGTACTATGGTACTAAGAACACTAACAAAATTTCAGCATCATTTTAACATAACTACCAATTTAGTAAACAGCAAACAGGATATTTTAGATAAGAAATATTCCATAAAATTTTATACATATGGAGAATTATAAAAACTCCTTATAAATTTGACTAATGAAAAAGCAGTGCTATTTCCAGTGCATTTTCACTGGAACCACCTAACTAAACATATGTGTATCTTTAATGTTCAATAATATGTAAGGTTTGAGATTTACAGTTTACAAGAAAATATTATACAACTAGAATAGGAGGGGTTTTGTTTATTTTTTGCTTTTTGGTAGGGCTGAAGAGCAAAAAGATATTTTGTAATCCTTAAAAAAAAACTAATAGGGGGGCTGGGACTGTGGCTCAGCGGTAGCACACTTGCCTGGTATGTGTGAGGCACTGGGTTCAATTCTTAGCACTATGTATAAATAAATAAAATAAAAATCTATCAACAACTAAGAAAATAAATAAATAAACTAATAGGGAAGGGTAGGCCTGATAGTGCAGGCCTATAATCCCAGCAACTTGGAAGACTGAGACAGGAGGATCACAAGTTCAAGGCCAACCTTAGCAATTTAATAAGGCCCTAAGCAACTTAGACCTTGTTTGAAAATAAAAAAGGTCTGGAGATGTAGCTTAGTGGTAAAGTACTCCTGTACAATCCCCACTAATTCCCCCCAAAAAGAAACCAATAAGAAGGGTTAGGATATAGCTCAGTGGTAGAGTACTTGCCTAGTAGGCACAAGGTCCTGGGTTCAATTCCCAACACTGTAAAAAAAACAAAAAACAAAAAAAAAATCCACCAAAACTAATAAGGTCTACCTTAGACAGACAGATATTACAATTTTCTAGGGTTTGCTTAGTACTGAGGATTGAACCCAGAGGTGCTTAACTACTGAGATATAGCACTAGCCCTTTAAATTTTTTGAGATGGGTCTCACCAAGTTGCTTAGGGTCTCAGTTTCCTGACTTATTGGGATTACAGACATGTACCACCATGCCCTGACACTTTTCCAGGTATTTTGAGCTTGCTTATTACACTACACTTGCAAGGATGTTCTCTGAAGAAAAGTGGATGATAAGTAATCTTTTGCTTTACTACCAAATGAGAAAGAGCTAGAATTGAGAGTCTAGAAGTTCTTAAATATTTCTCATATCCTCAGCTTTCCTCTAACACTAAGAGATGGTCATTGATCGCAAAAAGAAATGAACAGAAAATCAAATGTGATCAAAGTTGGGGGTGGGAATCACTGTGTATCAACATTCAATTGGTATTTACAATGTCTACAGTATCATAAAACAAAGCCACTACACAAAACCCTAGCAAGAAAAAACAAAACAGTTATTTCATCAATATGGGTAAAGGTAATCTCACATCTTCACCTGTCCTTTTACATACATGATGCACTGTACCTGACAAGCTGGATCAAGACCCATTTTTCTTCGGAGGAATTTTTCTACATGTCCAATAGTGGCTTCTCCTGAAACTCGAACAAACTTCTTTTCTAATGGCTACAAAAATAAACAGATAAATCTATTTTCAGAATTTATATATGTATACATAAATATAAAATATGTAAATCTTTAAAATATGTATATCTTGCCGGGCGCAGCAGCACAGGTCTGTCCCAACAGCTCTGGAGGCTGAGGCAGGAGGATCGCGAGTTCAAAGTCAGCCTCAGCAAAAGGCACTAAGCAACTCAGTGAGACCCTATCTCAAAATAAAATACAAAATAGGGCTAGGGATGAGGCTCAGTGGTCGAGTTCCTTTGGGTTCAATCTTCAGTACCAAAAAAAAAAAGATAATGTGTACCTTAAGACATATTTTATAGCAAAGCTGATTTAATTTTCTTGAGAGAAAAATTACTATGAAATTTGAGTTTATATTCCAAAGAAAAATAGAAATTCTTCTCTGTTTTTCCTCTCTGAAAAGTATGTCAAAAATTTATTTAATAGAAAGGCTTTCTAGCTTATTTATTTTATTATTTTTGTGGTACTGAAGATTGAACCCAGGGTCATTTTACCACTAAGCTATACCTCCAGCCATTTTAAATTTTATTTTATTTATATTTTCCAGATAGGGTCTTGCCCACACTGGACTGAGATCCTCCTACCTCACCCACTCAAGTAGCTAGGATAATTTAATAGCACATCAAAACTACAACAAAGGGCTGTAGGTTTACCTCAGGGGTGGAGTGCTTGCCTAGCATACAGGAGACTCTGGGTTCAATCCCTAGTATCATTTTTAAAAAAAGAGAGATAGAGAGCTATGGGTATAGCAAAGTGGTACAATGCTCGCCTAGCATAATCAAGGCCCTGGATTTGATCCCTAATCTGCAAAAAGAAAAAATGTTGAGCATGTGGCACACACCTGTAGTCCCAACTACTTGGGAGGCTGATCACTTGGGCCCAGGTTTTTGAGGCCAGCCTGTGCAACATAGTCAGGTCCTGTCTCATCAAAAAGAAAGATAAAGAGGAAATGGCAGGGGAGGGATAGCAATTCAGAGTAAAAGTTATTCATTCATTTCAAGTAGTAAACTTACAATTCAAAGACAGAGAGAATACACAGGATCAAATGTTTAAAACCTAGTTTCTTCAACAACAAAAACTGCAAAGAAGAAAAAATAAAATGGAGAAGAAATAGTAAGACTAAAAAGAAAAAAAAAGATGTAGTATCATTATTATGTTTGTTAAAGTAGTCCTTATTATTTATTTATTCTGGTATTGGAGATTGAACATAGAAGTGCTTTACTACTTAGCTACATCCCCAGAACCTTTTGTTGTTGTTTTTGAGACAGGGCCTCACTAAGTTGCTCTAGCTAACCTTGAACTTGTGATCCTCCTGCCTGAGCATCTCAAGTAACTGGAATTATAGGTGTGCATCACTATACATGGCTAAGAATAGCCCTTATCCTCTATTTATTTTTATTATTGATGTTGTTGTTATTATTATTTACTGAGGTGGTGATCAAACCCAGGGTTTTGCACATGTTCTACCTTTGAGCTACATTCCCAACCCTGCCCTTATCTTTTAGAAGCAAACTGAATTACTTATGTAAAAATGATATACAGTCTGGGATTTGCTTCAAAATTATATGAGAGGGGGACTGGGATTATAGCTCAGTAGTGGAGTGCCTGCCTAGTACATGTGAGACACTGGGTTCGATCCCCAGCACCACATAAAAAAATAAAGGTATTGTATCTATTTACAATTAAAAATATTTTTTAAAAATTGTATGAGAGGAAGAAGAGCAGTGAAGGTATAAACGAATATGTACATAGGATTCCGTTATACTATTCTAATATTGTATGAGTTTAAAATTTTCCATAATAAGCAGGGTGCAGTGGCACACACCTGTAGTCCCAGCTACTCTGGAGGCTTAGATAGGAGGATCACTTGAACCCAAGAATTGGAGACCAGCAAGACTCTGCCAAAGAGAGCGGGCAAGGAAACTGGGTGCAGTGACACACTTCTGTAATCCCAGCTACTCAGGAGGCTAAAGCAGGAGGATCACAAGTTCAAGCCCAGCTTAGGCAATTTAGCAAGACCCTGGCTCAAAATAAAAAGGACTGGGGATGTATTTCAGTGGTAGAGTGCTTGCCACCAAGTCAAGCATATGTGGGACCACAGGTTCAAACCCAGGTTCTGGAGGGGGAAAAAAAAAATTAAAAAACCTTTAATCTGTCAGAAACTACAGGACAAGTGACTCAGTTTTGTCAACAAAAATTATAAGAAAAAATAAGGAAATAGAAACCTTAATGACCTAACAACTAAAACAAAGCCATACTACAATTTAGACAAAATTTTGAATATCAAGTAGATTTCTTTTTTTCCTTCTTTTGCGATAGGGTTTCATTATGTTGCCCACACTGTTCTCAAACTCTTGGGCTCAAATGATCTTCCTGCCTCAGCCCACATAGCTTGGGCAATAGATGTATACCACTGAGCCTAGCTCTAGATATTTGATAATAAGAAATTGCTGGGCTGGCTCAGTGGTAGAGCGCTTGCCTCATATGTGTGAAGCACTGGGTTTGATTCTCAGCACTGCATATAAGTAAATGAATAAAATAAAGGTCCATCAACAACTAAAAAAAAGAAAGAAATTGTTAATTCTTTCATTCGTTACTCTCAAGCTTTAAAAAATGACAAATTTACAAAGTTATAAAAATAATAAACTCTCCAATAACCTTCACTTAGTTAACCATCTATTAATACATTACTTTATTTGCTTCATTTTTTCTTATGTGTGTATATGTGTATTTTTTTTCCTTAGACAACTGGAATTATTCGCAGGCACTAAAATATTTAAAACTAAACAGACTGGCAGTTAACTTTTCAGAGTAAGGGGATTTGATTTTCCTAATTAACTATAATGTAATTGTCAGGAAGTGGTATGAAAGTACTCAGAAAAATTTTTTAAATTAATATAATTATGTAAATAAGTCCATACTCAAATTTCTCCAATTGTTATAATGATATCCTTTATAAACTGTTCTTCTTCTTATTATTTTTTTGGTATTGGGGATTGAACTCAGGGGCACTCAACCCCTACATCCCCATCCCTATTTTGTATTTAGAGACAGGGTCTCAATGAATTGCTTGGCATCTTGTCTTTGCTGAGGCTGGCTTTGAACTCGTGATCCTCCTGAGTCAGCCTCCTGACCCACTGGGATTAAAGGCATGCGCTGCCGCACCCTGCATAAACTGAATTTATTTTAATCTAACTCAAAGAAGGATCACACATTGCATTTGTTCTTCACATCTCTGTAATCTTTAGTTCAGAACAGTTCTGCTGATCTTATTTTTATCTTTCATAAAATGGACATTTAGTAACATATTTTTAGGTATGATATGTGGTCATTAAAAAGAAAACAAAGGCACAGTTACACATGCCTATAACCACAGTGATTTAGGAGGCTAAGGAAGGAGGGTTACAAGTTCTAGGCAAGCCTGGGCAACTTAGCAAGACACTGCTTCAAAATAAAATATAGGCTGGGTAGATTCCCTTCAGTGCAATCCCTAGACCAAAGGGAAAAAAGAAAGAGAAAATGGGAAAGAGAAAAGAGATTGATTCATCTTTTTTTTTTAATATTTATTTTTTTAGGTTTAAGTGGACACAATATCTTTATTTTACATTTATGTGGTTCTGAGGATCGAACCCAGTGCCTCATGCATACTAGGCAAGCGTTCCACCACTGAGCCATAACCCCAGGCCCTGATTCATCTTTTTTAAGAATACTGAAATGTTGGGCTAGGGATATAGCTCAGTTGGTAGAATATTTGCCTTGCATGCATAAGGCCCTGAGTGCAATCCCCAGCACCACAAAAAAAAAAAAAAAATACTGAAATGTTGCCAGGCATGGTGGTGCACACCTGTAATCCCAGCAGTTTGGGAGGCTGAGGCAGGAGGACCACAAGTTCAAAACCAGCCTCAGTAAAAGCAAAGTGCTAAGTAATTCAGCAAGACCCTGTCTCTAAATAAAATACAAAATAGGGCTTGGGATATGGCTCCAAATGTGGTTGAGTATCCCAGAGTTCAATCTCCAGTATCAAAAAAAGAAAACTGAAATGTTTCCAGAATAAGTGGTATAGTGCTAAGGACTGTTGAAAGGTGAGTGGATGGGAGTATATAAGAAATAAAATTGGACATTAGTTAATAATTGGTAAAGCTGATGATGGGTATACGAAAGTTCGATTCTGTCTACTTCTTAGACTATTGTTACAATGTTGCAGAGCAGGGGCTGGGGATGTGGCTCAAGCGGTAGCGCGCTCGCCTGGCATGCGTGCGGCCCAGGTTTGATCCTCAGCACCACATACCAACAAAGATGTTGTGTCCGCCGAGAACTAAAAAAAAAATAAATATTAAAAATTCTTTCTCTCTCCTCTCTCATTCTCTCTTTAAAAAAAAAAAAACAATGTTGCAGAACATGGTGGCAGACGTCTGTAATCCCACCCACTCACAAATTGGAGGTCAGGCTCAGCAATTTAGTGGGGCCCTCAGAAACTCGGTGAGGCCCTCAGCAACCTACTGAGACCGGTATCAAAATAAAAAACAAAAAGGATGTGGGCTGGGGTTGTGGCTCAGTGATAGAATGCTCACCTAGCACACATGAGGCATTGGGTTCACACCTCACATAAAAATGAAATAAAGATATTGTGCCAACCTACAACTAAAACATTAAAAAAAAGGGGTTGGGGGTTGAGGATGTAGTTCAGTGGTAAAGTGCCTCAGGGTTAAATCACCAGACCCCCAACCAAAAACCAAAAAGTTAAAATGCTGCTGCTTTGTAGAAACTTTTATATTGAATATGGAAAATAGAATTCATGATATTGATTCATAGGTTTAGGGAGTTAGACATTTAACAACCAGGTATCAACTTAGTAAAATAGGTTTAATTTGAACTCACTTATTAAGTACAAAAGAGAAAGTGGGAAAGAGAAAGAGATTGATTCATCTTTATAAGAATACTGAAATGTTGGGATGGGTATATAGCTCAGTTGGTAGAGTGTTTGCCTTGCATGCATAAGTAATGTTTTTAAAGTAATGGAATACTAAATTATACTGAAAAAGCTATAACTAGAACATCTATTATAAATACAGAAGTTAAAAACAATGAGACTGCAAATTTGTTAACTACAATTGTGTAAAAGACTGTTTCAACAATGTAAAAAGTCACAAAATACAGTTAATAGAATCATTTATTTCTAAAACAATACATTCATCACTTCTCATAGTTATAAGCCTACAAATTAACATCTGTATTATCAGTTTAACAGAAAATGTAATATCTCAAAACTATGAGAATAATATAATGATTCCTATATACTTATCACCTCGCTTTAGCAACTCAAGGTCAATATTGTTTTAGATTCATTCACCTATTTCCCATCCTATCTATCCTATTTCCTGGCTCACCCTTGTCCCCCACATGTGTTTGGAAGCAAATCCAAAATATAGCATTTCATCTGAAAGTACTTTGGTATATCTCTAAAGAACTTTTTAAAAACTCAAGTATAATATCATTATCACACCTTAAAATTCCTTGATATCAGAAAATATCTAGTAAGCTTCAAATTTCAACAATTGTCTCTATTTTTATTTATTTTTCTCCAGAAGAAAATGATTTTGTTTTCTAGGGCTGAGGGAATAAAATTAAAATTTTATTAAAAAAAAAAAACACATAATAACCAGTGGTGGATTCAAACTAAAATAGTAACATTTATCAGATACAATTTTTTTTTTTTAAGA